TTCTTCGGCCCAGTTGGCGGCAGACCAGCATTGAAAAACAAGGTTTCTGTCTCGTTTGGCTTCCCTGGCAAAACTAGCAAGGCCGGTAGAAGGACCAGCTTTTGCAAACCCACTACCATTTGATATATAGATGCATTTGACCAGTTCTGATCATGTTCTCATCTTGGTTTTGGAGAAGAGCGCCTTTTCCATTGTAAGGCTGCGTGCTGTTCCATTGTAAGGCTGCGTGCTGAGTGGGGGGTGGTTTTGAGCACTGGTAGACCCCAGTAGTGCCCTTTTACCCTTTTTGGGGGGAGGGTTCCCCTACTAAAATAGACAGCAGCAAAAAAGGGTACTCTTATTCTAACCTCTCTACTGGAGTACCTAGATTCTCTTTGGTTGTGCGTGACGGACTTGTTGTAGACGTGCATCTGCAAAAGGGCAGGGGGGAGCGGTGGGGTGTCAATCCTCTCAGAACGTACGCAACTTCTCGGCCTGAAGCAGGCTGTGTTGCCCAACTTCGGTTTAGAGGCGCAGAGCTCCCCACGCTTCCCACCTTCCATTTGCTTGAGAATATCTTTTGTTTTCCCCTCTTGTTTTTTTGTTTTGTTTGTTTTTTCTTTAAGGGAATCTATCACTACTGGAAATATGTTTATGTTTTCCAGGGGGCGAAAAAGCAAATGGACGCCCCCGCTGTGGGCCCCGGCCGTTGCGCCGTTGCGTGGAATCCAGCCTTGGCCCATGTCAGGCCTGGCCTGGCCGGGAGCTCGATGGAAGGGGCGCACTTCTCGGTCAAGTTGGCCAGGGATGGCAGATGCATGTCAGGAAGTCGCATGATTTTTGCTTTCCCATAAGCCTGAAAGAACAAATGCATCAAAGCATCATGGCACACAAAGCAAGGCTCGCCAGGATTTGCATTGACATGAAGCTAGGGAAAGTGTTGCAAGGGGGGAGACTTTCTTGCTCTAAGGGCCGCATGTCTCCCTGGAGCTAGGGTCCTGAAAACAACCTGGTTCACGCAGGCATGTTCAGATGGGATTAAAATCGAGACGTGGCGTAGCACAGGCACGTTCCATTTGCTTCATTTAGTGGGGAGGGTAAGTAGGTGCAAAGGACAGGTTTTGGAATCATTTGATTTGGGGAGGTATCTCTTAAGGAACTCTGAGACCTCGTTATTTGGAGGGGACATTTGCAAGCGACGTCATTCAGGTGGGGATGCACGTCCACCAACCACTTTTGCGGTGGTTCTCTTAAACTCAAGAAAGGCAGCTGTGAAGGAGCTTCCGTGTTGCGGACGCTGGATGAAAAGTAGCTCTGCGCAACAAGGTGAACGAATGAACGCATGCGAGCAAATAATTGTCAAGAAGAGCAAGTTTTTGGACACTTGTGACACGTGAGCAGGGGTTACCTGGGCAGATTGGTCGAAAGCTTACACATCTCTTGTGTTTCTACCCTCTCTCCTACTAACCTTGCTGGTGCTCATCAGGAATCAGGGAATGACCCCTATAAACAATCCCTTGTGGTTTCCTTTTTGGGGGATCCCTGTTGATTCCCTACTGAGAACTAGCAAGCAACATGGCATTTGGTTAAGGGCCCCTTGAAACATGAGCTAGCACCACATGTGCTGCCTATATTGACTGAGGGCTGGGTGGTGTTGTCCCTCTTGGAGGACACCGGCAAGGACGAAGGCCCGGCCCAGTCAGTTCCCCTCAAATGCGGGGGGGGGGGGGGAGTTTGCTTTGTGTTGTGCTTGAGAGGCCTCCGCTTGTGATGAATTAGTACGGGCTGTCTGAGTTTTCATGCGGAAGCGAAATGCAAGCCAACCAGGAGGCGATGCTTCCTGGAAAGTTTATTCGGATGTATCCTGCCGCCTGGGAATTGGGGTCAACCAGCCGGTTCTTCTGTTGCATCATCACTTTTGTAAGGGAGGTGCTAAAAATCAGGATCTGGGGGGGTTGTTTTCATTTAAAACAAAACAAATCATCGGGCCAAGTGACTTGAGTTATCACTGCGGGCACTAGTCGGGATTTGTGGCTTGGTGTTGATCCCTTGGTTGATCCAAAGAGGGAGCACCCCCTAAACTCTAACCGAAAGTGGGAGTAGCACTAGACAGTGAGAGAGTGAGTGAGTGAGTGAGTGAGTGAGTGAGTGAGTGAGTGAGTGAGTGAGTGAGTGAGTGAGTGAGTGAGTGAGTGAGTGAGTGAGTGAGTGAGTGAGTGAGTGAGTGAGTGAGTGAGTGAGTGAGTGAGTGAGTGAGTGAGTGAGTGAGTGAGTGAGTGAGTGAGTGAGTGAGTGAGTGAGTGAGTGAGTGAGTGAGTGAGTGAGTGAGTGAGTGAGTGAGTGAGTGAGTGAGTGAGTGAGTGAGTGAGTGAGTGAGTGAGTGAGTGAGTGAGTGAGTGAGTGAGTGAGTGAGTGAGTGGCGTGCGTGCGTGCGTGCGTGTGCGTGAGTGCGTGAGTGCGTGAGTGCGTGAGTGCGGGTGGGTGGGTGGGTGGGTGGGTGGGTGGGTGGGTGGGTGGGTGGGTGGGTGGGTGGGTGGGTGGGTGGGTGGGTGGGTGGGTGGGTGGGTGGGTGGGTGGGTGGGTGGGTGGGTGGGTGGGTCAGAGTGGGTCAGAGTGGGTCAGAGTGGGTCAGAGTGGGTCAGAGTGGGTCAGAGTGGGTCAGAGTGGGTGGGTGGGTGGGTGGTGGCGGGCGGGCGGGCGGGCGGGCGGGCGGGCGGGCGGGCGGGCGGGCGGGCGGGCGGGCGGCTGGCTGGCTGGCTGGCTGGCTGGCTGGCTGGTGGGTGGGTGAGTGAGTCAAAGAGAACGGTTTGCTTTAAAAAATGGAAGGCCCTGGTTTACCTCCTGGTATCTTTTACCAGGGAAATCCATCTATTTTCCAAAGAGGACCCCTATGGTCAGGGGATGCCAAGTGATGGCTTCGATAGGCCCCGCGCCCCGGCGCACGGACGACATCGTGGCCGCAGAGAGCGGCCGATCGCGGCTTGGCTGAGCCTTTCCCTGGTTGAGCCTTTGCTCCAAACGGGCGGAAGCTGGCGCCGCACAAAATGAGAGGACCGCAGTGCCCCTCAAATGGCTGAAATTGGGCCCCATCTTTGGATGGTTGAAGAGAAGTCAAGAGGAATCGTCTTATCAAAAGAAAGTCACTCACCCGGAGCGGAGGCCTACCTCCGCAACATGAGGCAAACTTCTCACAGCCCTATGAAGCAACCTCACGAGTGCACGCACGCGCACGTGCGCACATCGGCTTTGCTCACGCTGGGCTTGTGCGGCCATGCTGGGCTTGTGCGGCTATGCTGGGCAACGGCTCTGTGGTGACTTGGGGCTGTCCTGGCTGCGGCGGTGACAGCAGTGAGATTCAGACTGAACTTGGCTGGCTGTGAGACCCGCTGGCTCCTAGTACTGTTGTAGTGGCACCGACAACAGTGTTTGGATGGCGCGGAAGGTATGAAACTTCTCCAGACAGTGGCGGTGACAGCAGCCAGATGCGAGAGCAGTTGGTGCGTGTCCAGCAGATCCAAGCAAATGAATCCTCGCGCTGGCGGCGACAACGGCCAGGTGCGAGAGTAGTTGATGTGGGTCCGGCAGATCCAAGCAACCCTGCGCGCTTTTGCTGCACGCTGGCTTTTGTGTGAGGAAATGTCCACGATGGCGGTGATAGCAGTCACATTCGGACTGAGCTGGATTTTATGGCATTGCATTCTGGCGAAGGTATGTGACCGATTGGTGTGCAACGCGGGATTTAAGAGGGCTCTAATGTCTGCAATGAAGTTTTGGAGCCTGATTTTGACGCAAGCCCAACGAAGATCACTTTCTTGAGCCAAGTGCTGCGTAGACGCTTCATTCAAGCATTGAATCTGCACAATTGAATGTGGTGGGAGGCTGCTCAGGTCAATGGGCAGCTATAGGCTTGGCTTTTGGCTTGTTATTGGTGGGTATTTCAGTTACTACCACCCATGGCTCCCCTTCACAGTCGCTGCTTGTCTGAAAGGGAACAAGCGACCGGGGAAAAACGGCACCGGGGCAGCCCATGACCATCGTCACCGCCAGTTGCTCAGGGTGGATGTGCCGTGGCCGGAGGCAGCGGGGGACAAAAGGGAGACCAAAGTTTGGAGGGGAAGGCGTCATTGATTCAGCGTAGGGCGCTGTTAGTCAGAATCAGTGAGCGATTTTTGGTGAGATTGGTTGCGTGCTAAACGCTAAGACCGCTGGAAAGCTGATGAGTTTTGTGCATCTCCGGGTTAACACTTGCCCACTTGGCCATCAGACGATCTTGCGGGGACGCTGACCCAAGAGCAAATAAAGCTTTGACCTTCAGGGGAATTGCAGGCGTTTGCTTTCGCCTTCTTGGTTGTTCGTTTGATTCAAAGGCACCACTGAAAAGGTTAATCTTTCTTTCCAGGTCCTCTGAACAGGGAAACGGACCCGAAAAGGGGGAAGCGTCTAATTGGGGGGGGCCTTATTGAAACACATGGGAACACATGGACTTGCTTCCCAGGGAAGGTGTAAGAGACCCTCTCGCGATCTCTCGCGCGCAGCCGCTGGCTTCGAAGCAGGTGATGAGACACTTTTTAGGTCTTTGTGGCTGTTCTCCCAGCCTGTATTCCATGAAACTGCGACTGGCAATGATCGCACTTACTGTCGTTGAATTCAGATTATTGGGTTTCCGACTTGAAAATGCCCGCGGCAGACATGCCAGCACTGGTTCCAGCATGCTCTCGTGCATCTGTACTACTCCCAACTGCCTAGGCTGCAGTCTGTTGCCTAGGCCAAGTTCTTCGAGTTGTCTGCTTGCACTGCAGGTTGGACTACCGGACAATTCGCCCGAGTGATCCTTAGGCCCAACCAGGAGTTTTGACTTTGACATATCTGAGCAATCGCCAGGGCGGATCGACCTTTCGGCTTTCCAGTTCAGGTTCACGTTTAGCCCTGGTAATCCTGAGGGTTCACGGCCTTTTGTTATGCAGCAAGGATATTGGCACAGCCCCCCCCGCCCTTTTCACCCATCACGCCAAGCACCGCCCAGCAGCGGAACCATCCTGAAAACGTCCCCGCGCATCCAATGGCGCAGAGCTGCGTATGGAGGCGTGGAGTGGCGGTTTGATGGCGGCTGGCTGGCTTCCTTCTTTCGGGCGGGTGAGCTGGAGAGCTTTTTTGAACCAGGGTTGTTTGTTCAGTTCCCTGGCCGGCAGGTTCAAAGCTCCAGTCAAATCAGCTGGTCAGTCACAGAAAAGGCGAGACGTTCAGTGACATATTGGCCCGTGGCTGGTTGGATGGATGGCTGCAGGAATGGCTGAAGGCTGCGCCGGTGTCAACATGTTGTTTTTGCCTCATCGCTGGTGGGGCAGTTTGCTTGGCGACTGGTGGGCTATCTCCACAGGTGCCTGAGACGCAAAACGGCCAGTCGTGCGCTGTCCAGTCAGAGAAGATGTCAGGGTCATTCTCCGGGTGGCTCTTGAGCCGAGCGGCTCATCCCCAAACGGTGCTCGAGTTGTGCCCAATGGGATGCCATGGGGTGGACGTTTCCTAGGCCGGGCCACATGGCACAGCTTTCCCGCACTTAAGACGGGTGCCTTGTGGGGTTCGAGCGCGCGCGTGGGCCGGTGCACCGGAAAACGGCCGAAGATTCGGCAGGTCTTGGAAGGCTTGGTGCAGAAGGCTGCGGCACAGCTAGGCCTGCAGCCCTCCAAAGGCCTGGTGGCCGGGAGGTGCGAGGCTTGCTTTATTTGACTACTGCTATTGGGTTGGTTGTTTAGACCTTAGCTTTTTGGATTCCCCTCATTTTTCCGTTTAACCAGCAAGAACTTTAAAATTTTGCCGGGGGATCTACAGCACAAGGAAGGGAACCCAAAGAATGGGAGGCCAAAAGAGGATCCCTCCACATAGAAATGCTGTAGTCTTGTTGAGTTTAGGCCTTCAGGGAGGGTTGGTATCAGAAGGGCCTGCAGGGCTTTGTTGACGGACGAAATCCTGCGCTCGAGCTGTGGTTTGCAAGAACTGGAAAAGTGGAGTTGGGAGAGGCGGTGCAGGATTTCGTCCGGTGGCCCCCTGGGGTGGAGTCAAGATGCCTGTCACACTTCATTGGTCGAAGCGAGGCGGACACTGGCATGTGTAACAAGGCTGACTTGCATTTGGCAAGGCTCTCTTTTTTGTTTGTTGTTGGCTTGGGGGGATTTCCTTTTGAAAATTCACAGGCGGCCTCACGAACGCAAAAGCATTGCTAGACTCGGCTTACCCCTTCGCTGTTTTGCTTTGGTTGGTTTTCACGTCTTCGCTTTTGGGCTAGCAACAGGTGTGAGTTATCTTGGGGAAGGGTTCCGATTCCTTTGAACTCAACCAACCATTTTTCCCATGGCAAAAGGGGCATCTGAGGTGAATACGGTGTCTCTACACACCCGGACCCCATCCCGATCCCATGCCAGGCCAGGCCTCCCGGTACCTGGGGGTGGCCAAGTCCAATGGCAAGTGGCTGGCGCGGCTCAAGGGGAAGACCTTGGGCTCCTTTGTGGCTCGGGCAAAATGGCTGTGTCATGTTTGACTTGTTGGTGCGATAAGTAGGGAATGTGAAATGGAGTCTGACCCCTATAAGAAAAAGCAACCAAGAAGCAATTGCGATCGGCGCGATAAGTGGGGAAGGAGAAATGGAGTCTGACAACGAGATAAACCATCCAACTGGTGGTTTCCTTTGAGGCAATCCCCAGGTTCATGCCAACATTCCCTACTGAGCACCTGCAAGTTTTTAGGGGCCGCCCAAAACTTGCGGTTTTCCTCTTGGTTTCCCTTTAATCCACGAAAAGAGGGGTGCGCCCCAACAAAGACACAGAGGGCAGTCAGAGCACAGGTCACTGGAGCAGAGAAACACTTTTTATCCGGGCGGTCGCAACTAAAAGTCCGGATGCGCCAAACAAGGGAACCAAACTGTGATTTACCGCTAGAAGTCCGAAATGTGTCTATGTACCACTAAAATGGTTCAAAAGTCAAGAGTGACTAAAGTCCGAAACAGAACTCGGGAAGGGAGACGAACTGATGTAAGGGACCAGGATTCGACCATGGTGGCTGCGGACTCGCAGATTTTCATGGAATCTGCTACCCCCAAAGGACGTCAAGAACCACCTGGAACCCCAAGTAGCTACTTTTGTCCAGCCACTTTACCCACCAGTAGCTCACAATTTTGCAAAAGTAGCTGGGAAATAAAGGCAACTGGGGACCGAGGTAGGTGACAAACGGTCATCCCTGAAGGAAGGTTGCCCTGCTTCCCCTTAGGCTCTTGAAGCGGCACAAGGGACAGCATGCCGTGGTCCAAAGCAACTGCGCAAGAAACGTTCATTGAAAGACGTACCTTACATGGGGGCCTGTCGCCTGGTTCCCGCAATCCGGGTTCCATACAAATCCATTTCTGGTAGCAGGCAAAGGTTTGGTTTTTGTTTTTTTCCCAAGGTCTATGGGTACCATCCCCGAAGCTCGATGAGCGAAATCAATGGCACACTGGGGGGAGATCTTGCGGGGCTTGTGATGGTTCTTGCGGTCATGAATTGGCATAGAACTTCGCCCAGGAATCCGTGTTTTGCCCTACCAATCTTCCAGGCTCTAATCCCCACAGGTAACGGAACCTCCTCTTAGTGCCGATATGACTCAGATCGTGAGGACCTGGAGATCCAAGCCGCACTGGCGGTGAGGGCACGGCAGCTGGATGCCAAGGAGACCAGATCCCGTTGGTTGGACCCGATGGCGGGGCCCCTTGGCGGCTCCCGAAGGCCATCCGGTTCCAAAAAGCTGGTTGGCTACTTGAGTTCATTGTTGAAAAATTCGGATTTTGGGTTGACCCAGAAGAATTGAGTTCACTTGTTGCAGAGGGGGCGTTGCAAGGAGGCCTCAGAACTGGACCACACCCTGGAAGCGCTGAAGCAGGTTGCGCCCCACCTGCTTGCAGTGACCTGTGGCTGCGGCAGCTCGAAAAGAAGCGGAGGGCTTTCTGGTGGGGTTTTTGGCGGGTTTGGGATCATCGTTCCGCCCGAACATGTTCGCTTTCTATGCTTGAGCCGCTTCTTGTGAAATTCCCAGGTTTGTCTTGCGGGAAAATGGAAATCATGTCTATAACTAGGGGGGACGGGTGGGGACATTGGGATTTGCTTCGAAATAGGATATGGAGCTCCAAACTGGTGTTCCCTTTGCTGAAATGAGCATGGCCAAAATTTGGCCACTCATAACAACGGTTCTTTGCTAGGCATCCCCTGAGTTCAAGTCAGTGCCCTTAATTGAGGTGCCATTCGTTTGGACCCCTCTTTGCCGGCTCGTGTTTGACAAAGCAGGGCTTCAACCTTCAATTAGGAACATCACATCCTCATCGGCCGAAGGGCTCGCTGTTTGATCTCAATCTGTGTTCTGTGGGCTTTCCAGAGTTTGCACTATGAGCTATTTGCATGGACTACAGCTATCACTGTAGACGGACAAAGCCTTGCACCACTTGGAAACCACGCGAAACCGTGGGAAACCATTGTTCATTGGTATTTGCAGGGTCTCATCATTCCAGGGTTTCTGAGGTGGTGCAGGATTTCGTCCATCCGCATTTCTTGCGTTCACCGTCACAAAGCTGTGCAATCATCGCCCTTCGGACAGCTTGTTTTTAGGGCTACACTCCCTCAGACTAACATGGAAGCTCCTGTAAATGGAGCCAAGTCTTCCAATCCTGGCTGAATTCCCTTGTGGTTTCCCTTAACCCACAAATTCAACACTTCAACCGCTGTGTTTCTTTGACGTTCTCCGGATTTTGGCGCTTCTTGCCGGGCAATGCGTTTGCTCCCTACGGTTTTGAAATCCATGCTAAAGGCGGCCAGAGAACTCGGAGTTCCTAACTAACCCGCGGTGGCTATCTTTAAGAACAGTTTGGTCCCTTGACCGAGGAGGACAAGGTTTTAGGTCAAAAAAATCAACAGACCAAATGGCTGGGTGGATGTTTTTGGGTCGATGTGTTTTTTTTTTTTTGTGGGGGGGGGGGGTCAACCTCACGCTTTTTGCGAGGCAAGCAGCGAGCGGAGTGCCTCTGCAAGGAGAAGTCCCTCCGGGAAGCCGAGGCGGCGCGGGCGGCCTTGGAGGCGGCCGAGAAAGCCGGAAAACCGAAATCGGCGGGGGTGCGGGGAAAAGCAACGTGGCGCCCCCCCCCCCAAAAAAAAAGAAAAAACACTAAAAAAGAAGAAGGAACAAACAAACACACAAAAAAAAGCAGAAGCTCATAACATCTGGGTGAATTCTGATGACCTCGCACGACCTCACCCCAAATGGTGGTTTATGTGGGCAATAGCCCCCCAAACCACCTTATTTCAGGCTGGTGAAATATGATAATTCACCCAGGTAACATGCACGTGTTTTGGGGGAATTGGAAGAGGGTAGTGTGGAAAATTCATGTGCATGTGTCAGGTGATTTTCTCACGACTTCCTTGGTAGATCTGGCCTGCGTTGGAAGAGGGTAGTGTTGGAGAGCTGGTTGGGAAAATGGCGGTACATTGGCGGTGATACCGCTCGGGTTTACCAACCACCAGAAGTTACCCATTTTTGGAAGCCCATTTTCGGCAATTTGAATTAGTGACTAGGTTTCGAACATTTACCCAATTATCCTTTGTTCTGTTCGTGCTTGCGAGTAAGACCCGAGTGGCACTGCAACAGTCAAATTCCGACTGGTCCAGACCGCGTGTTTCCCCAAAGTGGATCATGGATACCAACCCGCCCCCGCCCCCCGGCAAAGGGAGCCACATTGTGGAGGACGTGGACGGCCCAAGCAAGGTCAGACCATTCCTCTTTGCTGCAAAAAACATATGGTTTAACCCGTGCACGTAGAAAACAGGGTTAACAGGCACTTGTTCTGCGACACTCGGCATACTCCTGGTTGAAGCGGCCGGGAGTACCTCGTGCATGTTTTTTTTGCAAGCTAACTATTTGGCGCCACGATATGAGCACTGCTCGGGATGTAGCCTAGGGGCCACCATAGAAATTGATACTGCAGCTATTCGGGCGAACGACAAACTGTGTGGGATAACAACTTTCGGTTGATGAGAGGCTTCAGCTTTGCCGTCTAGACTTGAACAGCCATTGGCATTCAATACACGGAGGGCACCACATGGAACATTGGACTTACTTACGTCCGCAAGTGCATGCGTTGCGGGGTGTGTTTGAAGTCCTTATGTCGTCAATACTGGCCGGGCGAGGTGGGTCCGCTCCAAAGGTAGTATAAGATTGAAGTTCTCATACGTCAGAGCCTTTGTGCTCAATTGTGGGTGCCACTGTCCTCCTCCGCCAATCGTAGCCCATGTCAACACAGATTTGTGTGTGTGTCCAATTGCCCACTGGCCATCAAACGGTGCAAGCCCTGGAAGGCTTATGGTCACCTGACAACACATGTGCCCATGGAACCGGAGAGAACTTACCCTCCCTCCCACGAACATGGCACTTGTCGGAGGGTACCTGGAAGATGAATTGCTTCTTGGTGTCAGGTGCCAGGTTAGTGGAAGGGAGGGTAAATGATAGAAATTTGTTTTGCCGCCGGATTTGAGAGGACGCCTAGGTCCGAATCGCCAGCTGCTTTGTCCAGGCTATCCGCGCTGCCGCGGCGTCCCCGGCGGCGCCAGTGGCGCAGCCGTCAGCGCCTGTGCCAGAGAGGCCGACGGAGAAGGCGTGGGCCGGGGTTCTGTGACTTAATTCTTGACTGCCATTGGTTTGGATCTTTAGGCTTTAACTTTTTGGGAACCAATGGTGTTTTCCACTAAACCCCTAAAAAGTTAAACTTTTTGCAGGGGGGTCAACAGCAACCAAGATTTATCATGGATAGCGAGGGCTTCCCATATTCCTGGCTACCCACGGTGAATTACCCGCAATTCCCCTGGCCAGGTTTTGCAATCCCAGGTACTTGTCCCTGTCATGGCCTTCAAAGCTAAAATATCTAAATCAATTTGGACATCTTGGCGGTTTCAATATGTGCGGTTTCACCGTCTGCTGAATCGCACCACCTGGCTTAAACACGCCAATCCCATCGTGGCCATGGGAATGCTCGAGTTTTTCTGTCCTTTGACGTGCGCCCTTGCGCTCACTTCAGGTCCCTTTGGAACACTTTGCTTTGCGCCGGCAAGCTTCATGCCCCTTTCTGAGGCTTCCCCTTTTGGTCATACTGATGGAGAATCCGGCGCCACACGGTTTCTAAGCGCTTGACACCGGTGCGTTCCTTGGGTAGTTGCAAGGGGATCGAAGCAGACATTCCAATTTCCAGGGTTCAGAAACCGGGGTTGCTGAGGTCGTCGGTATTTGCAAGGGACTTGGGTTTCGGAGGTGGGACATGGATCCTCTGGCCGACGTTGAGTTGAGGGGACGGGTGAGCACCTTGGGACCAGCTGTGGGCCCGCAGGCGCCAAAGATGAAGGCGGCCAAGGCCAAAGCGTCGAATCCGTCCAAAGCCAACGCGACCGAGACAGCCCCGGAGAAGACAGGCAGCTCAGCTGCATGGGATGTTGGGGCTTCTGGCTGTACCAAGCTGGCTGGAAATCCACAGGGTTTGTTTACTTGGACTTGGGTCTTCAGCCCTGCTTATGCGTTTTGCTTTTGAAGGGGACTGGAACAGGAGGCATATCCAATCCTTGCATAAAACTCGGTGGGCTCAACTGTTGGCTTCTAGGATGTAGGGCCCACGGGCCAAAAAGCATCCGACCGTTGGGGTCTATGACCCCAATGGCCAAAGCTTCTTGGTATATCCGGCCAGGGAACTTCCCCTCAGTCATCATGGTCGGCCCATGCCAGAACGGCTGGCGTGCTGCTTTTGCCCAGGATTCGATGCCCGGGATGGGGCTGTAAGAGGTAAAGACAAGAGCGACCCATCTAGCTCCTGTGGTTATTGCATGTTTGTTTAGGAGGTCATGTGTTTGATGATTGGTTCGTCCGCTTGCTCTGCATTTGTATGTGTGCTTGTGCAATCTGATTTGCTCCTGCACCGGTGTCGACGGGGCAGCTTGGGGATATGCAGCGCCTTGGTTTCCACGCGCACGCGTTTTTAGGCGCTTGCAGCTTGCTCCACTTGTATTTGTAAGGCGGAGGCTGGCTATGAATTTCATCTCTGCCACCAAGGCTCCAGCGCGGAGTACTACAGGCGGCATGGGAAATGGGGCAAGGTGCACCGAGCTCTGGAACCATCCGGATCCCCAACCCATCCTGAATTTTCGGTTACTTGGGTTTTTCAGGATATTTTGGTGTTGTTTTTTCTCAGAAACCTAGTGTGTAGACAGAATGTCGTCTAGTTCGGGAAACCGGGTATGGGCAAAAGGCTTCATCCAGATGTGTCAGCTGGAGCCCAAGGCGTGTGGCCCTCGGGATTTGTGGACGGTGAGTCGATGTTTCCGCTGCTGCCCAGGGCTGTGGGAAATGACAACTTTTGTGATACAACAAGGGCCTCCCAAAGACTAACCCCCCAAAAAACGAAGGGATTCCCTTGTATCACAGAAGTGAGAAAAAACCCTTCATCCCACAACCCTGCTGCTGCCAGGCAAGAAATGGCTCTTTAAGGCCTTTGGTGTCCGTAGCGTGTGGCATGCAATAAAGGTTCTGGAGTTTGCGCATCAACCTGGTTTGTGTAAACACCTGAAAAGGGTTAAGGGTGTGCTCCCCCAATAATTGGCCCCAGATTTCTACAGCGACCGCAGTTTTCGTTCCGGCCGTTCTGGGTGGAGAAAGAAATCAACTAGGGGGCCTTCAACCAACAGAGGACTTAGACAGTCAGGCATTTCAGGCACCAGCAGCCATCGGTTTTATATAAGCACAAGCCTAAAAACAATCGGAAAACAAGAGAGGAACAACACGAAACAAAACACACGATCACCTTTCATGGCCTGTGTTTCTCCCACTCCGTACGGCTTCGGGATTGGTCTTCCCCGTGTTTTTCTAACTCCGTGCGGGGTTTGCCGGTTCTTTGCGATCCCAGTGGCCGATAATTTCTCCCACTCCGTCCGGGTTCGGGATTGGACCAATATCGATGTAACACAGGCGAGGTGCTATGCCAGTTTAGTAAAATCACCGAGGTGACGAGGTGAGAAATATGGTAAGTTGTCCAGATTGCTCGTCCTCGGGCGAAGCTTGGCGCAGGTTGGAGAAGCTGCGGCGCCAGCACGCGCTGCAGCGGCGCCGCGGCAAGGAGCTGCGCCGCAGGGAGCGGCGCTCGCAGCTGGAGCAGCGGTTGCAGAAGCGGCTGGGACCAGATGGAGCATGCAGAGAGGCAGATATGCCGCTGCAACCAACAGATGTATCGCATGAACAGGTATGCCACACATGTCACACAGTAAAAACAAATAAAATAGTAAAAACAAACAGCAAAACAATATGTATGCGTACATATGCATGCAACATCAAGCATCCAAAATAATTTGCCGCAACTTGTTCAACAGAGTGACGCCATTGGCACATTGATGTGGGCTGTGATTGTTTTTGCACAGGCGACCCTCATTCAAGTGCCCTGCGCAGTATCGTCACCACGTTTGCATTCCAGCATGGGTCATTTTTTGCACTGAAGATCAACAGATGTTGGATAATTACAATTGGGCTCCTTGGACAACCTACCTAGGTCGACAATTGCATCTAACTGAAGTACTTTTTCCGCGCACATGCTCGGATGCACTTGAGTAGCCATAGTCGCGGATGGCCATTCCCTCTCAATGCAGCATGGCATGCATTTCATAAGCGTTTCTTGGGGCATTCGGCAAATTCAGTCGTTCAGATACTCGATTTGTTCATTGCACTTCTTGGGATTCTATACAGACTGCTGGGGATTGCTGGTTACTGTTTAGGAAGGTGACACTTAGAGTCCAGATTTCGGGCCTTTCAGTTGTTTCAGATGATAATTGTTGTTGGCGGTGTGTTCCCAAGAACAACTCAAAGCAACTTGTTTGTTTAGTAGGCGGCTAACTTGTGACCCTCCACCAGCAATTGATGGGACTTTCAATCCTATTTCCCCTGAAGCCAGCTAAAAAAAGACCGCCATGCGCTGCGGCTGCCCTGACCAAAACTTCTGCCTGAGGCGAATGGAGATCGAAGCCGGCGACGAGGGAAGGATCCGAATCGTGCAGGAGCCGGAAGGTCTCTTGGCCAGCCTTGGGACATCGCCGCTTTTGGAGCGCAAAAAGTCGACGGCAGAACCCTTGGAAGTCTCGCTGTTTGCTGTAGAAAACCGGTTTAGATCCGCGCTTTTTGTGGGTAATTGACAACAGTTCTTCCCCCTAGTTCGGTTTGTTTAGTACTAATTGTTGTGCTCTTGCAATATTCTTTGGGGGTGGATCCACAGATTCGCCACATCCAAACCGTTTTCTACATTTATCAGTTCTTCCGGTCTTGTTGAGTTTTGCTTCACAAAGACAAGCATGCTATCGGAATTTTCGTCTATCCTGGAGGCACGCCCAAAGTTCCGTCCTCCTAGCTTGTGCAAGACACAGGGGGTATCAGCTTTGGCCACGTGTTGATTTCTCGCGGCCACCCCCTTTTTGCCACCCAGATTTTGTGGCCAGGACTCCAGGGACATTTTGGTCAATTTGGCCCAGGCAATCGGGTACTGAGGTGGCCCTGGTTTGGCCTTTTCAACTTGGTTTCGAGCACCTTTGGGGCGTCGGACTTGGACTCAGACCAAGGTGTGAGGACGGAGGAAGGCTCGAAATTGAGTGCTGTGCGATGGGGTGCCTGGAATTTAGGGGGTGCTTCCATTTGGGCATGGGAGCACAGAGGGTTGGTGTACCATGTGTGTTTGAATCTACCAACTTAGGAAATACATGGAAATACATCAAATTCAACAGATGGAGTTGGTGAATCAGCGATTGCCACAGCTGAGATGACCATCCAGTACTATAGGCCGCATCTACTTAAAGGATATTTTAATACGGAGCTGTTTGGAGCAGTGACGGCGGTTAACATGTGCATTACAAAGATCCATGATCAGCTTGAGAGAAATATATATACATATATATATATATATGCTACCCCCCCCCCCCAGGGACCTACCTTGTGGCTGCA